AAAAAAAAAAAAGAAAGTTTTCATTCAGGCTGTATTGTTCAGAAGATGCTTTAGGACTTCCAATTTACCGATTTCATTATTTCTTTTTGTTTCTTGCTAGAAAAGCCTTTTATCATTTGGGCCATACGTCAACCCCTTTGTTAATTTCTTAATGACTGTATTCAAGTGAGAGTCTTCTTGTTATCATTTTCTCGACATGTAATTCTGACCCTGCCTTCCATGGTGCTGGTGATCCTGCAGCTGTGTGAGGAGGACTGCTTCTCCAACATCAGCATCGTAGTCAGCTACCAGCTCCAGATCCCTGAGGGCCCAAGGGGCCAGCCCCACCCCATCCTGGACCACTACGTGAAGCCTTCTGCCATCTTCCAGGTGACTGCCATTCTGGGTCCATCTCACAAAAAACACCTCCTCTCCTGACTTCATTTTTTTTTTCTTTTGTCAGTTGTGGGGCTTGAACTCTGGGCTTGGGCGCTGTCCCTCAGCTCTTCAGCTCAAGGCGAGTGCTCTACCTCTTGAGCCACAGCACCACTTCCTCTCCTGACTTCAATAAAGGCTAGAGTTGGGAAGGAGGGTCTTCAGGCCTCCTTCAGGAGACTTTGATAGGGTATGAATTTGCTCAATGGTAGGCAACTGGCCTCCAAACAATTCCCCAAGATATTCTCCTTTATGTTCACTATTTCATGAAGAACATGGTGCATCCTGGGAGCATCGCTTGGTGGGGGCATCTGAGGCTGGTGTGGTGGGATCTCCTGTGGGGTTTGGACTGGGCTGCCCCCATAGGGCCCATCCTATGGAGTGTCTGGTCCTTCCAAGGTTGCATCCAGACTTTCCTGGTAGGTGATAGCACAGAAGCCTTTTCACAACTAAAAGAATTGAGGAGGGGATAGGAGAAAAAGAGTCGAGTTGCCAGATCCTTTGACACCTAAAGTGGCTGTGTGACCAGGATTTAAGGTCCTGAGTACCCTGACAAGCTTCATTTAGAACAGGGAGAAAGAGGTGACAATGTAAGCATTAAAAAGTAGCCACTGAGCTGGGCATGGTGGCACATCCTTGTAGACACACCACATAGAAAGTCTAGGCAAGGAGATCATGAGTTCAAGACAAGACCATGTCTAAAAAGAAATAAGTAATTACAGTGAGTTGGGATAAATAAAAAGCAATGTGTATGCCAGGTGCTGGTAGCTCACACCTGTAATCCTAGCTACTCAGGAGGCTGAGATCTGAGCATCACGGTTCAAAAACAGCTCAGGCAGGAAAGTCCATGAGACTCTTATCTCCAATAAACCACTAGAAAACCAGAAGTGGGGCTGTGGCTCAAGTGGTAGAGCTCTTGCCTTGAGCTGAAGAGCTCAAGAGGGATAGTGCCCAAGCCCAGAGTTCAAGTCCCACGACCAACCAAAAAAAAAACAAAACCAAAAACAAACAGAAAACAATGCATATATCCGGATAGTCCTAGAACACTCATAACTGTTCAGTATTTTTGTTGTTGGAAACATGGTCTCCCTATGTAACCGGAGCTGGCCTCATACTCATTCATCCTCCTGCCTCAGCCTCCAAAATACTGGGTTTGTAGGTGTATACAATCATGCACAGACTGTCCAGTATGTGTGTGTATGCTGGTACAGGAGCTTGAACTCAGAGCCTCATGCCCTTGCTTAGCTTTTATACTCAAGGCTACTCAAGGCTGGTGTTCTTTTATCATCTGAGCCACATCTCTACTTCCAGCTTTTTGCTAATTAGACATAAGTGTTTCATAGATTTTTCTGCACAGGCTAGCTTCAAACAAGGATCTCCAGATCTCAGCCTCTTCACTACATAGGACTATAGGCAGGAGCCTCCAGTATCTAGTATCCAGTCTGTCCTGTATTCTTAATTTTAGACATGCTCTGTGTTCATTAAGTCATTAAGCTTTTAACTCCGGTTGTGATCAGTACCTAGTATATCATCCAGACATGGAGAACCAAGAGGAAAGCAACATAATCAGGTGATTGTCCCCACACCACATCCACATTGTCTGAGCATAAGAGACTAAGATTCTCTGTGAGTCAAGGTTAGCATCTTGACATATTAGGCAAAGTATAATAGGGTGTTTTTGTTTGTTTGGGTTTTTTTTTTTTTTTTTGCTGTTGTTGGTCATGGGACTTGAATTCAGGGTCTGGGCACTCTCTGAGCACTTTTGCTCAAGGCTAGCACTCTACTACTTTGAGCCATAGAGCCACTTCTAGTTTTCTGTGGTTAATTGGAGATAGGCGTCTCATGGATCTCCCTGCCCAGGCTGGCTTTGAACTATGAAGAATTACAGGTATGAGTTATCAGGGCCCAACAGGTGTTTGTTTTTAAAAGTTTTAAAACTGTGGTATTGACAAGTTAACTAATTTAGAAAAGACTAAAGCCAGGTGCCGGTGGCTCATGCCTAGCTACTCAGGAGGCTGAGATTTGAGGAGTGCAGTTCAAATACAGCCGGGGGAGCAAAGTCCATGAGACTCTTATTTCCAATAAACCACCAGAAAACTGGAAGTGGCACTGTGGCTCAAGTGGTAGAGCACTTGCCTTGAGGTGAAGAGCTCAGGGACAGCACCCAGGCCCAGGGGTTGGTGGCTCACACCTGTAATCCTAGCTACTTAGAAGGCTGTGATCTGAGGATCAAGGTTCAAAGTCAGGCCTGGCAGCAAAGTCTCT